AAGGATTGATTAGGGAAAAGAGGTGGACGTGAGAGCTCAAGGGAAGGGAACTTCCATTGACGAGCGACAACATACCGGGATAACTCTCTATTTCCTTATTCTCTTTTCTTATTCCATTAATTTTACATGATTAAAATGCGGATTCCTCTGTTTAATTCAGTTTGTATAGAGCTAAACTTTATAGGGGAGGCGAGAGAGTTTTATATAGTTTAAGTATGTTGACGGTATAATCTTAGTTTATTAGAGAGTTGCAGAAGGAAAAAGAGACCAACAAGGATTGGTTAGGGCAAAGAGGTGGACGTGAGAGCTCAAGGGAAGGGAACTTCCATTGACGAGCGACAACATACCGGGATAACTCTCTATTTCCTTATTCTCTTTTCTTATTCCATTAATTTTACATGATTAAAATGCGGATTCCTCAGTTTAATTCAGTTTGTATAGAGCTAAACTTTATAGGGGAGGCGAGAGAGTTTTATATAGTTTAAGTATGTTGACGGTATAATCTTAGTTTATTAGAGAGTTGCAGAAGGAAAAAGAGACCAACAAGGATTGGTTAGGGCAAAGAGGTGGACGTGAGAGCTCAAGGGAAGGGAACTTCCATTGACGAGCGACAACATACCGGGATAACTCTCTATTTCCTTATTCTCTTTTCTTATTCCATTAATTTTACATAATTGAGATGCGGATTCCTCTGTTTAATTCAGTTTGTATAGAGCTAAACTTTATAGGGGAGGCGAGAGAGTTTTATATAGTTTAAGTATGTTGACGGTATAATCTTAGTTTATTAGAGAGTTGTTGTTAATGATATACATGTGTGTTTAATTAGCTACTTTACATACATAGTTGTTCTCTTATTCGGGAGAAGAGAGGGAGCAATGAAATCCTCTTCAATACTTTAGTTCCATTGCAAGGAGACTTGAAGGGTAATAGAAAGGTTATGAATAATTTTTCTCCTAGAACCTTGTTAACAGAAATTACAAACGATTATGGAAATAATTACCATGCATCACCCTCGAAAGTGAGCTTGGGAATCTATCAAAAGGAACTAAAATCTACCACTAAACTCAACAACTTATCTATTCCCACTTTAATGTTACCCAAAAACTCACTTAATTTCTAGTGATAAAATTAACGAAAAGATAGATTCTCAGTGGAATCAATAATTTACTTATTACTTTGCTACTTGTGATAGTGTATATTTGCACTTATTCTTGTGAGTTTTACATTATTTTATAATATACATCCATAAACGACCAAGTTTTTGGCGTCGTTGCCTAGGAACCTAATTTGGTTATTTTACTTATTGTAGATTTTCATGAGTTGGAGCAAACAAGAAGCCATAGTAAACTGAATTTTCTACTGCTGTATTTACTGCTACAGAATTTTGTGTATGAACCGAACTACAGGTTTGGAATTTATTTTGGATCTTGAAATAGAGAGAACATTTAGACGAAGGTTGAGGGAGAAAAAGAAAATGACAGAACAAAATATACAGCAAATAGAACTTGGAGCCCAGCTAAATCGGGAGTTTGAAAATCCAGCGATGATGACTAATCAAGAGAGAATTACTGCCAATGTCATTCATTTAGTAGATGACAAAGAAAGAGCGATCTGAGCATATGCACACCCAGCTGTGGAAGAGCTAAATTCGTGCATTATTAGACACGAAATGCAAGCAACCATGTTTGAGCTAACGATCGTGATGTTTCAAATGTTGCAAACCATTGGGCAATGTCATGGACTACCGTTGGAAGATCCTCACCTACACAAAGTCATTTTTGGGAGTTAGTGACTCATTTTGATTCCAAGGAGTGGATAAAGACGTGATTAGACTGAACTTATTCCCTTATTCATTGAGGAATGGTGCTAAATCATGGTTGAATACCTTAGCATTGGGAACAAATGATTCTTGGAATAGTCTAGCAGAGAAATTTTTGATCAAGTATTTCCCATCCACTAGAAACGCACGGTTCAGAAATGAGATTGTTGCTTTTCAACAGTTTGAAGATAAGACACTAAGTGAAGCTTGGGAGAGATTTAAGGAGATGCTTAGAAAGTGTCCTCACCATGGACTACCTCATTGTATACAAATGGAGACTTTCTACAATGGATTAAATATTGGTACTAAACAAGTAGTTGATGTTTCCACCAATGGAGCTATTTTGTCAAAGACATACAATGAAGCATATGAGATTTTTAGAGAGAATAGCATCTAACAATTGTCAATGGGTCGAAGTGAGAAGCAATCCAGGAAAGAAGACGCGAGGAGTACTTGAAGTTGATGTTTTGTCTTCTATTAACGCTCAACTAGCTTCGGTGACTAATATTTTACAAAATCTAGCATTGGGGCAAGAATCCATGATCAAAGCACCAGTCCATACAACTGCTATAATTAATCAGGCAGCAGCCGAATCTTTTGTATATTGTGGAGAGAAACACACCTTTGATCAATGTCCAAGCAATCCGACCTCAATTTTTTATGTGGGGAATCAAGCTAGTCAAGGCAACCCGAAAAATAACCCCTTCTCAAATACTTATAATCCGGGATTGAGAAATCATTCAAACTTCTCATGGAAGGGACAAGGCTCATACAACTAACGAATTCCACCTAAAGAAAATTACCCTCCGGGTTTTGGATAACAAAATCAATTGGCTTATAGTTCTCAACAAGTCAACACCCAAGGGAAAGGAACTAGCTAAGCTCAATACACATCGGGAACATCTATTGAGAGCCTAATAAAGGAATATATGGCTAAAAATGAATTTGTGATACAAATTCAACAAGCCTCATTGCAAAATTTGGAAGTTCAAGTAGGTCAATTAGCAACTGAGTTACGAAATAGGCCCCTTGGGAAGCTGCCAATAGACACCGAAACACCAAAAAGAGAAGGCAAAGAGCAATGTCAAGCAATAGAGTTGAGAAGTGGAAAAAAAATACCCATGAGGGGAGAAAAAAGTGCAGAACAAGGTGATAGTCATTCCTAAGAAGCTGCTGATACATAGCAGAGAAATGAGGAAGCTGCTGTACAGAAAGAACATAGCAAGGATTATGCAGAAACTAAGGAGCCGCCTAAAATTCAAACAACCAGCAGCAGTGGACAAGAGAGCAGAACATACACATTAGCACCTCCTTTTCCATAAAGAATAAAAAGAAAGAAAGAGGAAGCCCATTTTGAGAAGTTTATGGATATTCCGAAGGAAATTCATGTAAACATACCACTATTGGAAGCTTTGAATCAATGCCAAATTATGTGAAATTCTTGAAGAATGTACTTACTAATCGAAGAAAGTTTGAAGAATTTAAGGTGGTGTCACTAAATGAAGAGTGTAGTGCAATATTGAAGAACAAGATCCCATTAAAGGAGAAAGACCCTGGGTCGTTCACCATTCCCGTATCAATTGGAGGAAAGGAGCTAGGAAGAGCATTATGTGACTTGGGAGCAAGCATCAACTTAATGCCTCTATCCATTTACAAGAAGTTGGGGATTGGAAAGGCTAGACCGACTACAGTTACCTTACAACTAGCTGATAGGTTCATCACTTATCCCAAAGGAAAGATTGAGGACATCTTAAATCAAGTTGATAAATTCATATTTCCTATAGATTTTATCATTTTAGATTATGAAGCTGATGATGATGTACCAATTATTTTGTGGAGGCCATTTTTAAAGACTGGAAGAACATTAGTAGATGTTTACAAAGGAACCATCACGTTAAGAATGGGTGACCAAAAAATTGAATTTAATATCAACAACAGTATGAAATATCCAGTAGTATATGAATTGACAGAACAACCAGTGACCGAGGAATAGGATGATGGGGAAAGTGAGCAGGAAGAAGACAACAGCTGGAATGACATAATAGAACAGTTAGCAGTTTTAGGTGAATTCAACAGAATTTTTAAGTCACTAGAATGTGAGGGAAGAAAGAGTTCACCGATGAAACCATCTATTGAGGAAGCACCGCAGTTGGACTTGAAACCACTACCTCCTAACCTTAAATATGCTTATTTAGGTGACAAGAAGACACTACTCATCATCATCATCTCAGCGACACTATCTTCGACTCAAGAGGATATGCTCCTAGAAACTGAAGAAGCACAAGGGGGCGATAGGTTGGACATTGACGGATATAAAAGGAATTATTCCTTCACTACGCATGCACATGATACAATTGGAGGAAGGAAAATTTAAATCCATTGAGCAACAAAGACGATTAAATCCCATGATGAAGGAGGTCATTAGAAAGGAGATTCTCAAATGGCTAGATGCTAGAATAATTTATCCAATTGCAAATAGCAGCTGGGTCAGTCCTATTCAATGTGTTTCGAAGAAATGAGGATAACAGTAATGGAAAATGAGAATAATGAGTTGATCCCCACTAGAGTAATGAATGGATGGAGAATTTGCATGGATTATAGAAGGCTAAACAAAGTGACACGTAAGGATCATTTTCCCTTACCATTCATTGATCAAATGCTTGATAGGCTTGTTGGAAAGTCCCATTATTACTTCTTGGATGGTTATTCGAGATACAATTAAATTACAATCAGTTCAGAAGATCAAGAGAAAACCATATTTACATGCCCATATGGAATTTTTGCCTTTAGACGAATGCCCTTTGGACTATGTAATGCTCCAACAACATTTCAACGTTGCATGATGGCCATTTTTACAGATATGGTAGAAACATTTATGGAGATATTCATGAATGACTTTTCGGTTTATGGAGAATCTTTTGAGACTTGTTTGTGCAATTTGAGGAAGGTTCTACAAAGATACAAAGAGAATAATCTTGTATTGAATTGGAAAAAATGTCATTTCATGGTCAATGAGGGAATGGTGCTAGGCCACAAGATCTCAAGAAGAGGAATAAAAGTTGATAGAGCCATGATAGAAGCTATCGAAAGATTGAATTCACCTACGTCAGTTAAAGGTATAAGAAGCTTTTTGGGCCATGTAGGCTTTTATAGGAGGTTTATTACAAATTTCTTCAAGATTGCAAAATCGTTGTGTAGTTTGTTGGAGACAAATAGAAAATTCGTTTTTGACAAACAATGCATGACTGCCTTTCAAGCATTAAAGACAGCGCTGACCACAGCTCCTATAATGTCAACACCCGATTGGGATTCACCATTTGAGTTATGTGTGATTCTAGTGGTCATGATGTGAGGGGCAATGTTAGGACAGAAAAAGGGAAAGTGTTTCATCCTATCTATTATGCAAGCAAAATGTTGAATGAGGCTCAAGTGAATTATACAACCACTGAAAAAGAATTGTTGGCTGTAGTATTCGTTGTTGAAAAATTTAGAGCTCATTTATTTGTAGCAAAGGTGAAAGTGCACCCTGACCACGCAACAATCAAGCACCTAATGATGAAACCAAATGCCATGCCAAGCCAAGAGTAATTAGATGGATTCTACTATTATAAGAGGTTGAGATAGAAATAGTGGACACGAAAGGAGCTAATAACCACGTAGTGGATCAGTTATCTAGAATGGAGAACATGGAAGAAAATGTCAATAACAAAAAATTGATGATGGATTTCCGGATGAACAACTGCTTGGCATAAACAGTAGTAGCAGAATGGCAGCAATTTCATGGTATGTAGAAATAGCAAATTTTTTGGCTTGTGCCATCATACCCGAAGAGAAAAATTATCAATAGAGGAAGAGGTTTTTCCATGAATCCAAAAGTTACATTTGAGATGAATCTTTTCTTTTTAAACAATGTGGAGATGGCATAGTGAGAAGATGTAGTCCAGACAACGAAATACCAACAATTCTTGAAAAATGTCATGCATCCCCATATGGAGGCCATTTTGGATGGCAAAGGACAGCAACCAAGGTATTTCAATTGGGTTTCTATTGGCCAACAATTTTTAATGATGCAAAATAATTTTGCAATGGTTGTGATCAATGTCAAAGGACGGTAAATATCAGTAAAAAAAATGAGCTACCCCTAAATTCAATTTTACAAGTGGAAATTTTTTATGTATGGGGCATTGACTTTATGGGACCATTTCTGCCATCTTATGAGAATTTATATATTCTAGTGGCTGTCGACTATGCGTCCAAGTGGGTGGAAGCAATAGTTTGTCCATCCAACTATTGAAAGACCACTCAAATTCTTAAAAAGAAACATATTCACTAGGTTTGGTGTACCAAGAGCATTAATTAGTGATGAGGAAACGCACTTTAGGAATAGATTGATGAATAGTTTTTTAAAAAGATACAATGTAAAACATAGAGTGGCAACACTTATCCTCCACAAACCAATAGACAAGCAGAGATCTCCAACATAGAAATTAAAAGTATGTTGGAAAAAGTTGTACAACCAAACAGGAAAGATTGATCGGTGAAACTTCATGATGCATTATTTGCATACATGATGTTGGAAATAAACTTAAATCAGAGAGAGAAAAAAAAGAAACCTAAACATAAATTAGAGAGAAAAGGAACTGTTATTATTAATTTTGTTTTTAAATTCAGTCAATGTCAAAGGCCATAATTATTTTAGGAAAGGAATAGTTTATGGGTGAGAAAACATGCTATAATTATGGCTATTTTTAGGGTGAGTAAAACTTATAAATAAGCTTTACTTTCTCAATGTAATATCGGAGAAAGTAGGGCAGAACAAGTAGAGCAAGAGTAGCATAATAGAGTGTAATAGAAAAAGTCTTTTGAGAATTCTTTGTCTCCTTGTCTCTCCCCTCTCGACACCCCCTTCAAAGTTTCGTGAGAGTTATCTAAACGAGTTAGTTTCAGAGCAAGTGTCTATTTTCTACTAGTTGGTATCAGAGCGACTTTTAATTTCAACAAATTGGTATTCAGAGAAAATTTATATTCTACACCGGACAGCCTTCAAAACTCCTCTAGGAATGTCTCCTTACAAGCTAGTTTTTGGGAAGGCATGCCATCTACCCCTAGAATTAGAGCATAAAGCATTTTGGGCATTAAAGAAGTTAAATTTTGACTATGCAACAGATGGAGACTTGAGGCGAACGCAACTAAATGAATTGGAGGAATTTAGACACCTAGCCTACGAAAATACTAAGATGTACAAAGAAAAAATAAAAATGTGGCATGACAACAAAATTAGGCCCAAGGAATTCTACAAAGAACAAAGAGTGTTGCTGTTCAACTAAAGGCTGATATTATTCCCTAGAAAATTAAATCCAAGATGGTCCGGTATGGTGTGATGGTGTCAATCCAAGATTTCTATTACATACCATATCTCAAGACCAACATATTGAGTATGGGACAACTCATAGAGAAAGGTTACTCGATATTCCTAAATGATCGCCTGCTACACCTAAAGGATAAGAAAGAGCGTTTGGTTGCTCGAGTCGAGATAGGAAGAAATCGAATGTACAAATTGAACTTAAGAAGCATACAAGAAAAATGTTTGAGAGTCGACATAGAAGACAAGACATCACTCTGGCATCTTCGTTTTGGTCACCTACATCATGGCGACCTAAAGGAGTTAGCGAAGAAGAATATGGTACATGGGCTACCAAACATGGACTTCGAAGGAAAATTTTGTGAAGAATGCATGCTTAGCAAGCACGCGAGAACCTCAATTCAAAATAAGGCTGAATTTTGGGCTAAACAACCTCTCAAGTTGATCCATACAAATATATGTGGACCAATTAACTAAGAGTCCTTCAACGAAAAGAGGTATTTTATTTCTTTTATCGATGATTACTCACGGAAAACTTGGGCTTATTTTCTGAAAGGGAAATCGGAGGCATTCGAGGTGTTTAAAAAGTTCAAAGTAATGGTGTAGAAGGAAACTGGTAGACACATTAAAGCTGTACGATTCGATAGAGGTGACGAGTACACTTTGACGACTTTCATGGAGTACTGCAAGGAGCAAGGCATAAGGCAATTTCTAACCGCACCGTACATGATAAGGCAACCCTAATCCTCAGCCCAACGATCCAAACTTTTGTGTTAGCAAGAACCCTTGAATCAAAGTAATTAACACCTTCTTATACGAAATTTGGATCAACCAAGAGATAAGACTAGAATTAGATTACCTCTTACGATCGAAGATCTAGAAGCAAGATTTGGAACCTTGTTCTAAATTGAGTCACTTCACAATCTAACTTGATAAAGGCTTGATTGAATGGCTCGGGTGCAATTCTACCACAAGAATTGCTTGAAACTTAGAAATGACAAATATGATGCTCAGATTTCTAAGGAAAACGTCTCAATTTGAGATATGAATTACATTCATCCACGAATCTGATTTTTACATAACATATTGTGGGTATTTATAGTCTTCCGAAAAAAGACGTTTGTGGCCGAGATTCAATCCCGATCCCCTTTAATCTCCACAAATGACGAAGTCAATTTTGACCAATTGACCATTGCAAAATGAAAACAAAAAAACAATAAAATCTTTCAACAAATGTTGATATGTTTGAGTGGCTAAATAAATAAACTTGAAATCTAGTAGGCTTCACTTGTGTAGGTTCAAACCGTGTTTTTTTAATGTACTTCAATGAATGTTTGTTGAATCTTCTTCCTTGGATAGTGTAATAGGCCAGTTGGAACATTTGGAATATCGTGATTCTTATCAGTAACACCCCTCAACAAAATGGTGTGGCCGAGAGAAAGAACCAGATCATTCTCGACATAGTTCGCTCAATGCTTAAGAGCAAAAGGATACCAAAGGAATTTTGGGCAGAAACCGTGCAATGTGCCATCTATGTACAGAATCGATGTTCACATGCAAAGTTAGATGATCAAACACCACAAGAGGCTTGGAGAGGACAAAAGCCTATAATTTCTCATCTCAAGGTGTTT